ATTTTGGGATGAAGTCATTTTCGGAACAGAAGCTTGCTTGGACTAGTTTAGGATCTCTGGATCTTACCTGAATTCAGGATAACAAAAACCCAATAAATGTTTGTCTTCAACTTTCAGGGATGGGATGTAGTGGTAGGATGTATGTGATATTTTGTGGGTCATTGTGTGGACCACCAACCATTCACCATAAACCAACATTTAAAAGATAGAAATAGATGGTATCTGGTTAGAGCTCTAATCAAATTGCTTTCAGGATTTTTCTTTTGAAATACAGATAGTCCTCAATTTATGACCACAATTGAGTCCAAGGCAAAGTGAGTTTTGCCCCACTTTTTTTTTGCCACAGTTAAGCAAACCACTGCAGTTGTTAAATGAAACATGCAATCATTAAGCAAATCTGGCTTCCCCCATCCACCTTGCTTATAGGAAACTGGATGAGAAGGTTACAAATAGTGATAACTTCACCTGGGAGAGTGCAGCTGTCATAAAATACATGCCAGTTGCCAAGCACCTGGATTTTGATCATGTGACCATGGGGAGGCTGCAACAGTTGCATGAAAAACAGTCGTAAGTCACTTTTTTTCAGTGCCTCTGTAACTTTGCATGATCACTAAATGAATAGTTGTAAGTTGAAGACTGCCTGTAGACACCTCAATGAAAAGAAGCGTGTGGTTTTCTTTTCATTCCAGTGCAGTTGTACAATTGCCAGGAGGTTAGGGGCTCCTGTGCTTATAGTTGAACTATGAAATCATGACTCAGTACATTATGCAAGGTCTCAGGTGGTGCTTTTAAGCCACTTAACTGTTCCCAAATATAGAAAAAAAATGTAGTCATTTAATCAGCCTACTACTATACATAATGCTTACCAAAGAACTTCAATAATCTAATAAATGGGATGAATGGAGTTAAGAATGTAGTGCTTTTTATTGGGAAAAAGATTAAAAATAAAAATTAAGGAAGCCATTCTAATTGGATGAATTAGGAAGGTATACATATCATAATCTGATCAAAGAGCTCCAGTAACATCAAAGAGAGAAGGCATTTGCCTTTCAAGGTTAGAAACAGGAGAATACAAAATAATTGTGAGAATAATAGATATAAATCAGCATACCAAAATGGACTTGTAGGACTGCAGATATGAATACCTAGCAATTTCAAAGGCTACCCCCAGTTAAGCTGCAGAATAAGACAAAGAGAGATGGATAGCTTGCAGAAGTAAATATTAAGAATTGCCTTACTACAGGGCTTCTAGAAATTGGAAAGCCAGGGAGAATCACTTCACTTGTTTTAGATTCTTTAACACTCTAGTATTGAGGACTTCCTTGAAGATCTGAATAATCCTTTGATTCTTGAGTGCACCAAGCATGGCAGAAGATCAAGTCTGCCTTAATATGTCTTGGCTATTGATACAACTTGTTTCCAGTCCAAGTGCTAGTAATACACACCTTCAGAAAGAGAAGTTGCTTAAAATGCTTTATGGCTGCCAACAATTAATGCCAACCTTCTCCATTTTGCTTTTGTCCATTTGGATTTGGGGGAACTACAACTTACAGAATTCTTTACATAAAGTATCTGAATGATACCATTACATCAAGTTGGGAATTCTGTTTATTGTGATATCAGTTATAATTATCTTAGATTAAGCATCTTACTATTAGGATGTAAGAAAAACAAAGCATTTACCACTCAAAACCGAATTTAAAATCTTTCTGGCCAAGTAATAAGAATGTCTGTTTGCGAAGAGAACATCTAACCATTGTGGCTATTATGAAAACAAGTAAGAGGTAGATTCATTGTTGGTGGTATCAGCAGTGGCTTGTAATACAAGATGGCAATTACATTGGCAGAGTTCACAATCATTCAGGTCTTAATTTATTTGCTAAGCCACAATACATTAAATCTGTTCAAATAAGATATTATCAAGTAACTTACAAACTGTTGTTTTCTCTACTGACCAAGAATATTGAGATGGTATAAAATTTTCCCATCAATGAATTCATTAAAAGGAAAGGGCTTATGATGTTTAGAATTATGCATCCACTAGAATTGCAATTTGGCATGTCAATGCATTCAGAAACAATTTTCTCTCTAATGGCAATCCCCAGCATCCCATAAAAATTGAAGAATTGATCTTATTTTTCAAACCCCAGGATTGCTTCAATTTAAAAATTAATATATTAATCTAGCATCAATCTTTTTTTTCTCTTCTGTCTGCCAAAGCACATAAAATAGGAACCGTTAAAATGATATAATAGGATATAAGAATCAAGCTCATATTTTAGAATATTGAAGCAAATGTGAATCAAACCTGTTAGCTCAACAGATGTTCCACAGCAAGCATATCCACATTTTGCAGCTCACAGAATTTCCCAGCCAGCTATGCTATATATGCTATATAGCCACTCCTATTCTACAGGTATCAATGCAGACCTCTTGTAAGGACTTATTTTGAAATTGGGAGTGTTTTTTAATCAAAAACAAAAACAATGAGATATCAAGCATGAAAAGAAGAAATATTTAAAAAATTGCCTTATTTGAGGACTGACTCTTTGCTCATTACAGCTTCTCCATCCAGGTGCGATAGGGCCTGGTTTCCAGTTCCAGCTGCAGTGTTTGGGAATTCTGAAGACTGCAGTTCTATATTACTCTCTGGTTGGAGGCCTGATCTATTGTGGCAGGCAAAATGTCTCCTGCGTCTTGGACCAAGATGTTTCTCCTCATCTGCTACCGTATCCTTTACAGTTGGAGACTTAGAAACTAAGCTCTTCTCATGTTATTTATTATTCCACTTTTTATTATTTATACGAATGACTCAAGGTGGCAAACATATCCTACAAACCTTCCTCCTCCTATTTTCTCCACAACAACAGCCCTGTGAAGTGGGTAGGACTGAGAGGGAGTGATTGGCCCAAAGTCACCCAGCTGGCTTTCATGGCTGAGGTGAGACTTGAACTCACTGTCTCCTGTTTTCTAGCCTGGTGCCTTAATCATTAGGCCACACTGGCTCTCTTGCATAGTAAAATGTCTGGAAGCCAATAAAAAATAGCAACACTTTTTTTTAACAAAAAAGGCTTTTTGTTTCTTCCCCTTAAGGTAAAAAGTCAGGACTATCTATGTAGCTCTTTATGAAGCCAGGAAATAGGAAACAAGAATCAGCTGCTAAAGAATAGAATTTAGTCCACTTGCATTTCAGAGATGGGACAGACACATTCAGCCTGAATTGGGGAGCTTGTATTGCTTTTCTATCAAGAATTACCTTGCTTCCTTGGGTCACCCAGGTGTGGTCTTTGTATCATTTCCACCAGCAGCAGAAAGTTGTGGGTTGTAGTTTTAACTAACTTTTTAAAAAGTTTCAAAAATACAAAATAGAAAATCCTCATGGTTCTTCTTCTCTACCGTATTTTAAAAAACACAATACAGTGTATTTGGGTTTAGCTTTTTCTTTTATCTTTATTCTAGTTTCTGCTGCTATTAAATTGCTTTGTCAATCATTTTATTCTGGCTCCCATGAAGGTGAAATGCAAGCATTTTTTTTTCAGAATGCACAGATGAACATCGATGTTACAAGTGTCTCACTCTTGCAATTTCTTGTTGTCAGAGACTGTGAAGCAAAATGTGATATATTTGCTTTTTATAGCTAATCTTTCGACTCAATTTGGGCACTTAAAGCAGTGAATATTCACACTTTCTCACTCTGTATTGAATTGTTATGAAATGGAATATGTTAATGACTCTAAGCCATGCTCTGTTACTGAAGCAAGAAGCAGACCAAATTTTCAGCATTTTCCATGCGGACATTAACTGTGGCTCATGGTACACCATCATTTATTTATACTCCTATTCCATTTGTAAGGTTAACACCATGGAAAATAAATTATACTGTTTCAACTCTAATGCTAGAAAAGTTATAGCCTTATAATCTGAATCCCAGCAATAATACAGCAGATAGCATTAATAGGAACTGCGTTTATTTTTATCTGGAAAATATAGTCCAAAGATTACAGCACCCATCACAGAAATATTGATGGGTTTAGGACAACAGTTCCAAAGCATAATCATGTAAGCATATTATAAACTTTTAATGTAATAAGCTATCCTTCCCAAATCTGGTCATTTCTAGGTTGTTGAAACTATAACTCTCAGGATTCTCATATTTTTAGGAGGTTTTTTCACTCCCTCCCTTTCTCAGCTCAGTCCTCTTTCTCTTTTTATCCTGTGTAGTTTAGGTACTCACCACAATGGAAGAGAGGACACTGCAGTCTTTTACCAGTAGATGGGCTTAAATAATTTCTATCACAGTCTTAAAATTACTAAAATTACTTTTCTTTTGCGCATCTTTATATCTCCTGAAAAAAGTTGCATTCATAATTTCAATATTTCTTTTTTTTTTTTTAATGAATCCTTTCTTCTCTATAAAGCTATCTGCTTCTCAACAGCTAGATGTGAGTTAGTGTGTCCCTCAGCTGAAAAATAAAAGAAGATAAAAGAAATGTGTGCATTGTTTCATCACACTGCAACAACGTCCTAAATTTATCTCCTCCCAAACTTACCATTTGGCTGTATTTTTTTTTTTACATCTTCATAGAAGACTCCTACATAGGAATCAGAATAGTTTCAGACAAATTTTTCCAAGAAAATAAGATAATTCAAACAATTCCCCAAAGATCCAATGAATTTAGAGAAGTGAAAAAGGTAACAGTTCTTGCAAAGCCTGAAAACAATAACTCTATCACCAACATATGTGGCTGCATTTGTATAAATGTATTTCTTGTTTTAATGTAAATATACTTCTCTGCCTATAATATTACATTGTATGTCTCAAATGTTACTTACCCTCATTAGTTATACAGTATTTACACCTCATGTTCAAGGCAAGAGAACCTAAAATTCCATTCAGGACAACCTATCTATAAAGCTAAGCTGACTTTCTCCAAATATAAATGACAGGTAAAAATCAAGATCAGCATAGAGTTTATTTTTCCCCAGAGTCCTTAGCATGCTACATTAACCTGACAATTTTAATTAATGTGTTCATTTTTTTTCCACAAGACAGTTTCATGCAACTTACAGCTGTTATTTACTTTACATTGACGCTATAACATTGTTTCATCAAGCCATGTGAAAAGCATAGGATTTATGGTGCCTCCAAAAAGTATCTCGGCTGGGACCACATGTGGGCAGTTCATTCTTAGTCTTTTTATGACTCATGGGTATAACACCAAGACAGTGGTGGTCATAAAGCCAGCAAGGTCACTGCTTAGTCCTCTTGCTATTTAATTATTTGCTTTTTAGTTGCTTATTTATCCTGAGGAGTCCTTCTGTTGAACATGGCATTCAAGACAATATCAACATTCCCAGTGGTGTAAAAGATAAGACATATTTGCTCTTCTTTAAATTTTTACAATCCCCCACAATTTATTACATGTGTGTTTAATTTTTTTTTCAGTAGTAACATTCAGCACTAAAGCCATGAAATAGTAACTATTTGGCATTTTTCAGTGAAGTGCAAGAAATAAAATAAATTATGTCTTTATTGCTTACAGATAGTAACAAGCAGAGTCACTTTTTTTCCTGTAGATATATGACCCACCTTTTCTTTTGGCTGAAGTCCAGCATTTCTGCCACATTGAAAAATGTGGTGGCAAATAATCATTTTACGAAGATGTGTTTAATATTCTAGAATCTGAGGAATCAGATCTTTCATCATAGTCATCTTCTGTATAAATGGGTTGCTTTGCCACAATCGGACATCCATCCTCTTGGAGTGAGATTCTAGGATCCTCCGATGGGCGTGTGGGAAGGACTGGAGAACTTCGGAAGACTGTGGCAGAATTAGCAGAGAAGGGGCTGACATACTGAGACCTCAGCTGATACTGCTGCTGAAGGGTCATGGTGTTCCACAAAGTAACATCGTTGGGTAGAAATGGACTGGACTGGTTTCTTGCCAAAGTATTCCTCAACATCAATGGATACCGAGGAGGTTGTGGGAAGGGATGCTGTAACGGAACAGCCAATGGATTTGGTACAACATTACTAGTATCTGCAGAAAACCTCAGTGAGTCTGGGACTCGAAAAGCCGACCCTACGGACCATTTTGAAGAGGAAATAGGATAGGAGCTCAGAGTGTGTTCAAAGAGGTGCCCATTCGAAGGCAAAACCAGGCCTTCTGACTCTGCAGAAGTTCTGTCTCCTCCCGCTAGGGAGGATCTGCTCGACAGGAGGACCTCAACGGCACTCACCAGGTCACCCCCACAGCCTTTCAAGATTAATTCAAGCACAGTTGGCTTTTGATTGGGGAATATTTTCTTTAACACTTCAAGGGGTGGCCGGTTGGCTTTTAAGCTGAATGGCAGAGAAACTGTCCCTGATGGACCTTCAATCAAGAAATGGTTCTGTTCCGGTTGATACTTGGGGCTCTCGGGCCTGCTGTCAGTGCTCCCACTGTTTTTCTGGACTGCGTAACCACCCTCATCAACGGAAACTATTTCAGGGCTCTCGGGAGCGAAGCTGCTCTTGGTCTTGGTCACCTCTGGAGAACTCCTTTGGTCTGTATCTTTGTCACTGTAGGCCTCAGTACTGTCTCCTCCACTGACGTCGCCCAGTCGCTCTTCTGTCATGTCTATAAAACAGAGGGCAGCTTTGTTATGCCACTGAGTACAAAGACATTATCATTTTTGTGTACATATTTTTAAGTGTTACAAGCACTGGATCCTTGAGATTATAAATAAATGGTTCTAGATTACAAGTATTAAAAAGGCATTGATTTATAACAGAGACAGGGTATTGGCCCATTTAATCCATTTATAATTACTTTGGCCCTTTTATTTATTTTCTAGAAATTACGCTTTGTTTGTACCATAGGCCACAGTCACAAATAAATTGGAAATGAAAATAAGGAAATCATGTCCCCATTTGCTACTTCCCATAGCTCTTTTTGAAGATCACCTATTATACCACTATAAGATTACCTATTATACCACTACAATATGTTCATGCAGTTACATAACTAAGAATAAACCAACTGTATCATTGAAGCATTTTTGGTTCATTTATGAAAAAAAACTGAGGCAGACTAGAATCTGTGATTTGTTAACACCAAATGGTTTTCAAAGGAATTATAGTTTTTATTTTAGTCAAAGTCAACTGAGGAAAAAAGTATTATTTATTTGTGGTCCATGGCATTGCTGTGATAAAGTAGTCTATCAATCAGCCATCACTAAATCCAGAAGAGAATCTTAAAACTTTGGTCACTTTTGTCAAAACATAGGTCAAAGGCCACCTGGAAGCATACTGTCTGGAAAACATGTATGTTCTCATCTTTATTAATTTCCAAAATAATTGTTCCGCATTTCTGAAACCTCATCATGGTTCACCAAAGGGAAAGGAAGGAGAAAAAGACAGCTAAAGTAAGATTTTTTTTCTTCCAGAATGCTTGTCTGATGAAGAATTCTTAAATATTCAAAGGTTTCTGTATCATTTCATAAACCCCAGATTGGTATTAATAAGGGCTAGAGTTCTGTTGATTTGGAATTGTCTTTTCTATGCATTTGATTTTTATATCTGCTGTGATTAATTTTGAAATAGTATTTTTTTTTAAATCTCCTTGACTATTTTGCAATTTCATTTATCCTCACTTACATGACTTGGTGGAACTTAGCAAATAATAAAAAATAATAAAATAAAATAAAATCACAAAGCAAAACAAAAACCAGCCAGATAAATTAAGATTACATACTAATCCTAAATGTTGTCTTTATTTGATTTTTCTGTGCAATTCACCAAGCCACACCTCTCTTGAGAAAACCACAGACAACATGAATGAGTTCTGTTGAATGAAATGTCCTGTAGCATGTTTTCCTAGACACTCCTTCATTTAAGCCTATGTTCTTGGATTTACTTCTTGCTACAACAAAGTAAGCAAGAAATGGCACAAAAGAAGTAACAGCTACCTGAAATACACTTGTTTTACACACTAGATTGGGGTAGTCAACCCTTTTTGATCTGAATATTCAGTCTCATGTAGTTTGCTGAGACTCATTTGTGGCAGGCAAAAGAAAAAGAAAAAGAAACAAGCAAGGGGGAAAAACCCTCTAGGATACACATCTATTACACGAATAACTATAAATTATACACTTTATATCATAATATTAACTACACATAAATCTAAAAATGTTAATATATCAATTCCCCTTTCCTTCACCTTTAGGCAACTTATTCTAAACATTCTAGACTAGAGACTGCTTCTAAGTAGTTTACCATTTAAATTTTATGTAAAAATGATCTGGAGATTCAATATATCTATCATTATTACAAAATCTGTTTATTTATTTATTTAATGAAAGTGGGAGGAGAAAGATAAATAGAGAAGATTGTAACTAAAGTAGTTTTTGAAAACTAAATAGGCATGCTTGTATATTTGTAACCAAGACAAAATAAATTTTTCATCTGAATCTACCAATTTTTCACAGCGTAATGTATAAATGTTCATGTTGCAGTAGATAGAACCAAACTTAAATGGAACAAGAAGAAATATTTTATTACAGTTTTAAAATGCCAAATCATTCAGGTGAAGATTTTGTGCATCAGGATTCAATTAACATTGCTTTGAAAATGTTCACATTTGAATGTAATTTTGCTATCTGAGCTACACTTCCAGATCTGTTTATCAAATTATATTCTATGTTGTTAAGCCTATGTTAAAATTGCAAGTCATCCTAAGCGTTGGTCCAAATCTCAGACATGATCTCTTTTTTCCCTTCAAGAATCTACCTCACTTTCTGGATCCACACATGCCTTTAATTCACATGTGTAACTGCTTTAATTTTATATTGGCTAAAACTGAGCAAGAAATCCCCTTCAAGTTTTGTCCATGTCCCCAGCAGTCTTCCACAGCAAACCAGATCTTCCCTTTTCATTCAAACAAACTACCTGAAAAGATGTCTGCAATAAGTCACTCAAACATGGGAATTTGAATAAAGGTAAATCTGTATATCTATTCTGGTCCATTTGCCCTTTTTTGATGTTTAAATTAATGAGGACTTGATTTGCTGCTTTAGACAACTTAGTTCAATAATCATTTCCTTCTGAGAATGATCACTTATGTAGAATATATATGCAGATAGTATAAACCAGGGCGCCCAACCTTGGCAACTTTAACACCCATGGATTTTAATTCCTAGAATTCTGTGGATTCTATGAATTCCCCAGCCAGCCAAATTCACAGGTCTTAAAAAGTTTCCAAGCTTGGATAATCCTGATATAAACATATATGTCATTTTGTTTGATTTTGGCTTTATGTGTCGTGTGAACCCAGCCCTTGTGATTTGTAATCCATGTTTCCAGCTTCATTTATTGTTTAAATCCAGCCTGTTGTAGTTTATTCAACAATCCACACTTCGCCCTGCCGCAATTTAGCATGGTGTCTGAACCCCAGTCAGAAAATCTTGCAAAACGTATAAAAGGACTTGAGAGAAGCTGGGTCTCTGGTTGGAGCCTGGCCATCCATCATCCAGCAGCAGCCACAGCAGCCTAGCCCCCTGGAGCATGCAGGGATCTTTGACGGATGGAGATGTCCTCCTCCCTTCTCCTGCAGAAAAGTGCTGACTAGCTGGGCAGGGAAGAATTTCTCATCAATGTGCTTTGATTGTATTTGGTAAAGAAAAGGCCCGTTGTCTGGTAACATTTCACTTGAGCCTGACCTGCTCCAAAAGTTATTGCTTGCCCAATTCGATTTACACTGTCCTCTGTGGTGATTAGTGTAATCTTTTAAACTGGGAGGTTCATACATCAGTGGGGAAAAAGTTGCGTGCTTGTCCCCCTCAGATTTATAAGCTTTGAAGAAGAGTCAGACAAGGCAGCCTGTTTCCTCAAGCAATGGAGAAATCAATGCAGCCCTCAAACCTTTCGTGCCCAGGAATGTTGCCAGCACGCAACATGTTAAGACCACAACCTCACACGATGTTTAGGTATCCACAAACAGAAACTATGGGAACCATCCAATGAATCAAGCAACCCAGCACTACAGACTATCTTGCAAAGACAACCACCTCAGTGAAGGATGAGTACAGACAGAGATAACTTGGCAGGAAACTGAAAACTAACACGTCATATATATGTACCCACCAAAGCTTTGAGCATTTAAATCTCATTGATTTCAACATGTGCTTACATTTCTCCCAGGGCAACAGGCTGGCCTCCAGATGGCTATTAGCCAGCACGATGACAGTGGTAATCGACTTCCTTGGAATTGAGAAAGGAGAACTCTTAACTATTCCTCGGGTTAGGGAATGAATTTTCACCACTGCAATTGTAAGAAATGTTCCATAGAACCAACTATCATGGTACAGCTTTGATTGAAGGAAATATTTTTATGCCATCTCATTAATTACTTTCTGCTAGTTCTAATTCTCTGGGGATTCTGCTCTTAAAGATTCTCTGTTCTTAAGGATTGGGTTGGGAATCTTCACCCATTCAATGAAATCAATGAAATAAAAATAACCCACCCAAATGCTAAGGGAATTGTGTTACATACTTTTCTTTTTGAGTAAGTTTTGGTTTGAACTGAAGTATTTTGTGTAATCCATCTTTATGTATGGCGCTCATCATGGAAGATGATAAGGTTTGAACAGTTCTGATATGATCACTGATATCTATCAAACAAGAGCAGGAATAAACCAGGTTATTAAATTTCCAATTTGTTCCAAATTATCCTTTTCCCATTTAGGTCTACTGGGAAAGGCAGAGACTTATTTCAAGAGAAATGCAGCAAATAATTACAATATTACATGGTTCTGAAGCAACAGTATAACAATACACCACCATCTGAAAAGTTTCCTAATATATTATTTCCCTTGATTTTAGCTAGGGAAAACCAGGAGAGAAATGCTAGCTACATTTGCTTTCTGGAAAAGGATGTCACTTCTAAGACCACAAAACTACTCTAATAGCTTCCTTCCTAATCTCCAGCAGCAGGACAGGATCTTCTTCACTGCCCAAGTTACAACTCTCCCTTAATGGTGAGGGAAGTCACTATACACATATAGCTGCTCAAACACTGTTTGCCATTAATTAAAATTCCTCCTTCCATTAAATTCAGTAAAAAAAAAAATCCCTCAGCAAATGCAAAAAGAAATATAAAGGAAGTCTCCTCACCCAGGAAGTAAAAATAAGAATTGGCAAATATTAAAAACCTTAGTGGAAGGTTCGGAGTAAAGAACAGAGAAACTTTCTAGTAGAAAAAGATGGGATTTTAGAAGATGCTTCAATATGAAGCTGAAGATGCAATGCCCAGAATTCTACCCACACTATTGCCAAAAGAATTTTTTCCATTTGATGAGGAAATGTTGACATCCAGAAGAGTCTGATGCTGGCAAGGAGTAAGTCTTGCCCACTTGTGTGCAAACAGATATTGTGTCATTGTCAAATCTGAGTGCTTCTATTTTTATGAAAAAATAACCACCGAAGTCCATTGAAGTAAATATGCACCTTCAAATTATGGGTGTTTGGAATAGAATTTAAACTCCTAAAAATGTGCAGCAGGGTTGTTTGCTTGCTCAGGAGGAAGCCTAATAAAAAATAAAGGAAACTGCAACAATTCTGTGCAGGTGGATTTAGTCTGTT